TAAATGATTGTCCAGAAAATGTAACATGTACACCAACTGCAAAGACAGATTGTGACAAAGATAGAGAACAGGATAGGATAAGTAATGTAGAAGTATCCTCGGGTTCGGTTCGACATTTACCTACAGTTACCATTTTAGGGAGACCAGACGATAAAGTGACGAAATGGAGTTGTGACAAAACGGTATTATCAAGTTTTTCACCGGGTCAAAGTGAAACGAACTTATTTGAGAACTTAGAATACGGCAGAATTCTAATTACCTCGTATCCACCACGTACACGAAGTTTTCACGAAGATCTAGACTCCATGGATACTGATGTGGGAGGCTCTGCATGGATTAATTCAAAAGCTTATTGAATATAAATTGACATGAAACCAATGTAAAAAAAAATGTTGCTCGAGCAGAGTTTGGCCATGCAGATTTCAAATTGATATGCAAGAATGTGGATCTGAACTTTCAAAATGAAGCAAAGACGAGTTATTTCCCTTAAAATGTGTTCTGCATGACAATATTTTATGCCAAAAGATCTAGGATTATGATAAACAGACTTAGCATTAAAATTTGCCTTCTGATACTTCCATACTGTAAATTTATTAGCAGGAAATACATATTTACAATATGCAAATTGTCATATAATAAATTTTGCATTTACTGCCACTCGGTAAATTCAACACAAAAGTTGTCATTTATCGTTATAACCATTGATAGTGTTTCTCCTTGAATCTGTGCTGTATATTATGGGAAAATTACCATTGATTTTCGGATTTTTCAGAAATCTTTTGTTATACTACAGCGCTGTACACATGTATATTACATATGTTCTTACTGCAATAGATGTAAATATAGCTCTTTATGTTTTTGTGTATAATCTCATGTCTGAATTCAAAGCACAGTCACTTGTTTCGATAATAATTTTTTTAACCCATAGTATAATAATATTATTATACTATGGATTAAAAAAATCATCACCGAAACAAGAACCTGTGATTTAAAGTTATTTTTTTTATCGAACTTAAACTGTTATCGCTATTTTTGCAATAAATATTATAGTTTCTCTTTTAAAAATGTGTATTATTTTTGTATGAAATATATATTATATACATTTAAGTCAGAGGGAAGGTTATTCTCTCTCTCTCTCTCTATATATATATCAACATAGTATTTTCAAGGAAACCAGTCTTTACTTGATGCTATGCGCGATAACTCCGTATAAATGTGTAAAAAATGGATAATCCTTCAAACCAAGACGATAAAAATAAAAACAATCGTTTGAATCAACGGCCTTTTTAAAGACGTAAATAAGAATCAAATTTTATTCAACCCTCGCACGTTATGTTATGATATGCTACCCCCACCCCCAATTCACTAAATTTCGATCAACATTGAGAAAGTGTATTAGTTTTAAAACAATTCATTCAAATCCCAACAGTTTAGCTTTAGGGCGAGAGGGCTCATCACAAGCATTTTCTTTAAATCTGGAACACAACTGATTTATTTGTTTTATTTCCGGGGGGGGGGGGGGCTGTTTGTCATGATTTATATTCTCTCATCTAACTACATGTGTTTGCTGAATACTGTGATTTAAGGAAACTTTGTGTTAACATAGCCAAAACAAAAGTCCTTATTTTTTTTCTAAAGGTTCAATGACAAAACGTTATCTTTTATATAAAGTGTGGCTTTTGAAAATGTGAATGAATTCTGTTACTTTGGTTTATTTCTGTCAAGAAGTGTAAAAAGTTTAATAATGCAAAGAAACATTTAACGGAACAAGCATCAAAAGCAATATATATATATATATATATATATATATATATATATATATATATATATATATATATATATATATATATATATATATATATATATATACGGAGTTTTACGTAAAATGCGCTATTTCAATTTACCATTTTATTGTCAGGTATAGACTTGTTTGATAAAGTCATCAGTCCAATTTTACTTTATTCTTGTGAAGTTTGGGGTTATGCATTTAGATTGATTAATTGTATATTGTTTAACGTCCCATTCGAGAATTTTTCACTCATATAGAGACGTACAATCATAATCGAAAAAGTACACTTCAATTTTTTGAAATTTACTCTTAAGTACCCTAAATCGTATGGTGTACGGAGAAACAGGTAGATATCCGCTGTCAATATTTATGAAATTAAAATTGGTTATGTACTGGGCAAAAAATTTAACTGCCCATGGAAGTAAACTTACAGATGTGATTTATTTATATTTTTATGTGTTATATACATGTATATCGATGGGTCTTTTATATACCCATGGATAAAATGCATACAAGTTATCCCTAATTCTTGTGGATTGTCTTATGAATAAGGACAAATCAAACATTTCATAGCTTCAACTATTATATCAAGCTTCAATTATTAAAGAAACCCTAAAAAATCAATTTGTACAAGAATGGAGAAGCATTGTTAATAGTTCACCCAAAAGTATTAATTATAGAATTTTAAAACAACCTTCGGTCTTGAAAATTATCAGCTGAATTTACCAAAAGATTTCAGAATTACACTTACAAAACTAGGGACATGTACATGTAATCATCATTTGCCAATTGAAACAGGTAGATGGAATAATATTGACAGAAATTTAAGAATATGTACTAATCTGTGACTTTAAATTAAAGTATTGGTGATGAATTCCATTATGTTATGGAATGCAAGTACTTTTCAAATGACAGAAAAATATTTTCTAAAATAGATATTGTAAAAATCCTAGCACTTCCAAGTTTACATCGTTTCAAGCCACGGTCCGGTGTCCGCATATAGCTCTCTCCTACAGAATGGGAGAGGATGGTACATTTTGGCCGTGCTACGATGCCAAGTTTAATGAACTTGTGAACACAAATAATGTAGAAATACAAAAATTGTTGGCAAAATCTGTTAGAAAATTTTCAAAACTGTCTGCCCTTCTTGAATCCTCCATATATATAACTGCTTATATGTCTTCTTCATTCTTTTCTTTATATATATACTTGTCTATTTTTGACCCTTGACTGTTATTTTTGTTTGTATATATGTATATATGTTTATATGTACCTCTTGTATCAGTGATCTGGTTTTGAGAGAATAAAGAATTGAATTGAATGTGCTATTTTTAAATTGAGCCTTCTTTTCAAGATTCAAACACCTTTCCAACTCCGGCTCCTACAGTAAATTCTCTCTCTCTCTCAAAGATCTTGACTCCAGTAAGTATGCTATATATAGCTCTAGATAGACATTACACATCTCCTACTAAAAATATCTTCCATCCCTAAGCTATTTTGAAAAGAAACACGGTATTGAAATAATGGTTAATATATATTTTCATACATCCCTACATGATTGTATAAATCATTTTTTTTAAATCCCTAAAAAATGATTTAGTTAAAGTTTGCCAATGACCATGAAAAAACGTCCACTACACCAAAGTCCGATGGTGACGCCAAAGTCCGATGGTCTCGCCAAAGTCCGATGGTCTGCGCCAAACCCCGATGGTTTGACGTCGGTACGGACGCCAAAGTCCGATGGTCACGCCAAAGTCTGATGGCTCGTTTCCTATGATACACGTGCGCTAAAGTGCGATGGTCTGACACGCCAAAGTCCGATGGTGCGGAGAAACAATTAACGTTTATGATGTCACAATATTCCGACGTCAATCCTCAACGCCATAGTCCTTAATTCAAAACCAATAATTTAGGATGAGACATCGAATACAATTTGACTGATTTTACTTAATGTTTGCACTCACCTTCAGGAGTTATTAGGATTAGTCCTTGCACACCACTTGGCTGATAAGGGTTAGTCCTTGTGCACAATTACACTGATTCTAGGATGGGTTGCACCCACCCAAGACATTAAGAGTTAATCTTTGTACACGATTCGATTGCAGGCGCGTAGCCAGAATGGAAATGATGTGTACGCAGAGAAAGGCAGAGGGTGGGGTGGGGGTCTTGAGGCCCCCCAGTGTGTTAAGGGCTCTGGTCAGACACGTAATATAGTTTCTGCCAGCCAGGAAAAAATTACAACTTTAAAAACTTTGACAAGCAAGGAAGAAAAAGTCAAAATTTGAAGTCCTATTTCTTGTGTGTGTTTGTTGGGGGGGGGGGGTCAACTTTCACAAACCAAAGTTTATAAATACATTACCAAATTACCATGATTTAACAATGCTACAAGAAACAGTGGGGTCCATCCTTTCAATGTACATTTTCAATAGTAAAAGGTTAGGTTTGAAAATAAGTTGGAGTGGAACCCCCCCCCCCCCCCCCCCCGATACTATGTGCCTGCTGATGAGGGTCTAGAATTAAGCTCCTGAGTTTTACCAAATATTTCATTCATTTCCTTGCAAAATAAAAATTGGGCCATTTAGCATTTGTTTAGGAAAGAAAAAAGACATAGTAAAACAAAAGACATAGTAATATTTATTGTTTTAACAAAGTTAAAACTTGTACATGTAGTTGAGGCTTAAAATATAACTGATATATTGGTATCACATTTTTTTAACGTTTAAAAACACGTATATTAAATTTAATTATGAACAAAAAATATCGTATTGTAAATCATTACTAGTAGATCATAGCATTCAACGATGTGGTTGAAATTTAATTTCTCAAAGATCTTTAAAAAAATATCAATGTATGATAGAACAATGACAAAATGATGAATGATTTATTTGGATTTGGCAGTGATTAGATATCGAATTTCAAATTTTATCATACAGCCATAATAATTTAAAATTTTAAATCGAAAAGTATTACACAGGATAATTTGAAACACAAATATTTCTTGGATGGTACTGAGATTTTTTTTCTCCGAATAATTCTTTTTTCTTTTCTTTCTTTTTTTTTTTTTTCTTTTTTCTTTTTTTGAAAATGATGCATGTGTACGCACTTGCGTATTTGCGTATAGGCAGCTACGCGCCTAGATTGAATAGTTTTAGTCTCGCATCCAAAAGATGTTTGACTGGTTAGGGTTAGTTTCTCTCCCATCCAGGATATGTTACAGACTTTTTGACTGATTAGGGTTAGCCTCGCACTCATCCAAGAGATTAGGGTTAGCCTCGCACCCATCTGAGAGATTAGGGCTAGCCTCGCACCCATCCGAGAGATTAGTGTTAGCCTCGCACCCATCCAAGAGATTAGGGACAGCCTCGCACCCATCCAAGAGATTAGGGACAGCCTCGCACCCATCCAAGAGATTAGGGTCAGCCTCGCACCCATCCGAAAGATTAGGGTTAGCATCGAACCCATCCCTGAGATTAGGGTTAGCCTTGCACCGATCAGAGAGATAAGGGTTAGCATCGCACCCATCCGAGAGAAAAGGGTTAGCATCGCAACCATCCGAGAGAAAAGGGTTAGCCTCGCAACCACTTAAGAAATTATGGCTAGTGGTACAATATATTTTTTGTGTTTTTAGTGAACCATATAACGTTGGCGTTTAAATACTTAAAATTCATTTAATTTATTTTTAATCGCTTCACCTTGGCGCGGCATCGCAATTTGGCGCAGCAGTACTATGACGTCATAAATAATTATTTTTCTGCACCATCGGACTTTGGCGTGTGAACCATCGGGGTTTGGCGCAGACCATCGGACTTTGGCGTGACCATCGGGCTTTGGAGTCCCATCGCACTTTAAAGTCCTACATACATACATATACTATCATGCTTATTAATAAGAGAATATTTTTCTGTAGTTTTCTGTATGACAGCTCTTGATTAAAAAAAGTTGAAAGATATTATTATAATTATATAAATCGCTAACCGAGACAATCGGCCCTGGATACAATATAAATAATGTTAATCAGTGTAACAAATTTCACACACAAAAGATATAAGTATTTGGACTTTCCTTAAAGGTATATATATATACCAATCTAATTTAAAAAAAAATCAGACTTCTTAGCTAGATCCGCGCCGTATACACTCTTACGCAGAGTGTATACGGCGCGGATCTAAGAAGTCTGATTTTAATTAGATTGAGGCATATTATATAAATACTGCATGTAGTTGAGTGTAACATTGAAAATTTTCACCCCAAGAAAACCATTGTCAACCGAGGCGCAGCCGAGGTTGACAATGGTTTTCGAGGGGTGAAAATTTTCAATGTTACACTCAACTACATGCAGTATTTATTATATTATACTGAATGTTTTATACAAATACATATTACAGTGAACCTTGCGCGCATGAATTCTGCGCAGTCAATATTTTTTTGAATAACACCCGTCGTCAAGCAATGTTAACTGTTGCTACGCTGGTGGGCGTGGCTTCATTATTCAGCGGGTAATAGTGTTTTTTAACAAATGTTTCTCGACGAATCAGATTCAACTAATTTACATGAAAGTATAATATACAGATATAGCGCTGTATGATGATGTAGGTCACAAGAAAATGGGACATTTGAACTCACAGACTGTATCGGAATTTTTAATTTTATGCATTTGTAGGAGAAGAAAATACATATTTTCATACAAAACAATATATTTCCAACAAAGACTTTGGCAAGAAAATTTAAAATTACAAGTTGAGTGAATTTGGGCGAAATTTACATGACTGTTCTGCATGTACATGTATATATATACATTTAATCATGAACAGTTCGTTGACTTGCACAATTCTATCCATGTGTATGCATATTTAAGTTTCTAATCAAGAGTTAAGATTTATAAACAGTCAATGTGCTTTGTGTAAGCTTAAATTATTTCTACTTAACATTTTATGAATTATTTATAAAGAAATTTAGGTCTTGCATGTACAACTTACATGCATGGACATTTTCCCCAAAACAGCACATTTATGGATTAGGCATCATTATACATGTACATGTACTTCATCGGAATGATTTTTTCTACTACATGCTTCTAATTAGTGTACCCCCCCCACGCCCTCCCTCGTGTTCCGTACCTGAAGGGTTCTTTGAGTTTTTTTTTTGTTTTGTTTTGTTTGATTGTTAGGTTTTTTTTTTTGAATAAAATATTTTCTTTTACATATTCACAAAGTATTACAACTGAATAATCCAAAATATAACCTAAAACTAGCCTTTTGTAAAAAATCTCACTCTATAATACTAATATTCTCTTTTAGTATCAAGTGTGTGAATTTTAATAAAAGGCTAGTTTTAGGTAATATTTTGGATTTTTCAGTTGTGATACTTTGTGAATGTGTGATAGAAAAATATTTTATTTAAAAAAAGTCAAAGAATCCTTGGGATAAAGAACACGGGGGGGGGGGGGCGTCCCCAAGCACCTCTATGCTGTGAATGGAACATCTTCTTCTTATTTTTTTTTACGTCGGGATCGAAATCCTTCCTTTTGCGTCTTTTGCGATCAAGGTATCACACCGGTAATTGTTTTCACTATATGTTTCTATATAGGAAAAAAATTCTTAAAAAATCAGGTAAATTAATTCATGAAAAAATATTTAGCAGAAAGTATAAAACATTACCTCTCTTATTAGCCGAGTCCAAAAAACAGGGTACCTACACGGCATTTTCTGATTTTTTCCATCTGCAAACAGGGCTACCCTCAAATCCACGTGTTTTCAATGTGTTTATAAACAGCTCCAGTGCACCCCAGGAAGTAGCCTCCTATGCCCTGAAAAAAATAGTTCCTGTCAAAAAACTTTATTTATTTACAAAGTACATTAAATTTACTAAGCACAGGTACCAAAGTTGTAAAAATAGCCTGGAAGAAAATTAAAAAAATTATCAAAAGAAAGAAAAATTAATTTTATATGTATGGAACTACAATTGACTAAGTTCATTTTGATTGGTCAATTACCGGTGTGATACCTTGAAGACAACTTTATTATCTTCAATTACTCTCTAATTAGCACAGCAGGTGCCCTAATTAGTAGTTAACAATATATCCCAAGCAGACAGTTATAGGGCTGAGAGAGCCGGAGAAATGGGGGATTTAATATCCCCTGGGATTATCATGATTGCTGACCAATTTCATGGTGAAATATGAGTTACAAGTGATGAGTTTCAAATTGACATAACTTTGCTCTAAAACATGATATCTATACAAGATTGGCATCATTGGATAGGTGAATATCTAATTGTTCTTTTTTTATCATTTGTTTAATTTTGATTAATTTGGTAAAAATTTTGGATTGCTAATTAATGAAAAATTTAAGGCAAAGAAATCTTAACTTTTATGAAAAAATTCAATTTTTAAAATTATAATGGAATCTGCATCTGGTCAATTTGGTATCAAAATTTAACTCATTAATTATACTGCAGAGATTAACCAGGCATGGGACTCCTTTGTGTTTGGTGATTAAGATAATTGTCTCTTTATCAGGCTGGGGTTGTGTTCATTTCTCCTGTCTTCAAAGAAAAGGGGGGTCTTTTAAAAAGATCAAAAACTGGTTAAAACAAATAAATAAAACTAAGGCCTAAAGTGAGTACATTGAAGTGTTAAATATTCACAAAATCATACTGCAATTTACTGAGTAGCTGTTCATTATAAGATAATATGGGGAAAAGAAGACTAAAATATCTGTCCAAATTTCAGTTCAAAAAAGGAAGTACACCACACAACAAAGGATCCAAGTGTCAAAACAATGGGATTAAAACAGTGGAAAAACCTCGAACAATTAGACTTAACAATGACAAGTTTGCACAGATGGTGACATTCACTAACAATGACCAGACCATGCAAATTTGTGATGCACAGGGAAAGGACAGTGGTATGATGATTTTAAGGCCAAGAGGAAGTGAGGTGCAAGCTATTGACATTTATACTGATGAAGTACCAGGAAGTCCAGAATGTGAAACTTACAGACTTTTACACAATAAGAAAACATCTCAGCTGTGGAATTTCGCTTTTAAAGACCACAAAGAAAAACAACCTACCTGTAAGGGTTCTCTGGACTGGGACTACTCTCGAGAGCAGAAACGAGGACTTGTGTGGATTACATCTCTGCACTGCTCCAGCTGTGGGTACCACAGTCATCAGCAAAAGTTATATGAGGAAGTACAATCTAGCCGACCAGGAAGGAAGGCTGCTCGGCTCAATGTAGCCATGTCCTTGGGACGTATGGGTACCAGCTTGACCACCGAGGGGATGAGAGGAATGCTGCTGACAGCAAATGTCCATCCAGCTTCAGCTAGCTCCATGCAGGACACTGCTAATAAAGTGGGGAAAAAAGTTAGTTCTGTGAACAGGGAGAGCATGAACAATATAAGAAAAACCTTGAAAGAAAATAACTCTGAATGTGGACTTCCTGATAATTCACCAATTCGCGCAGAGGGGGATGCAAGGTACAATAACTCTACATTTAGTGCACTGGGGAAAACACCATTCCAAGCAGGTACACAAGTAACTTATACTATGTGTGAGAATGTGACAAGTAGTAAAAAGATTATTTCAGTGTTTTGTGGAAATAAGTTATGTAAGAAGGGGGAATATTTGAGAGGAAAAGGTGTGCAAGTTACCTGTCCTGGGCACATTGGATGTACGGCAAACCTAACACAACAGATGAACATTGGTAATGAGAAACAGTGGGCAGCTGAATGCATAGAAGAACTGAACAAGGATGAAAACCCTCTTACAGTATCCCACCTTACAACAGATGGAGACAGTGCAGCGTCACAGGGAGCATCCGTAAAACAAGGAAAACCCATTGAAAACCTGAAGGACCTGAGGCATTTCTTCGAGTCGCAGAGGAAAGAAACAAGCAAAGCCCCCTTCAGTGAGCGCATGTTTCCAGGCCGTACCAAAGCAGACAGGGAATCAGCTAAAAAACGATTCGCGCAGGACCTAAAAACTAGATGTCGATCAGAATATGAAAAAGCTCACAAGTATTTTGGTGGGGATATGCTTAAACTTACCAATGCCCTGTCCTATGCTGCTGATGCCATAGTATCGTGCTATCGAGGTGAGTGTGGTAAGCAGTGCCAGAAACATTCTTTCGCGTGTCGTGGTCTTAAAAAAAATCACTGGACTTCATCAGTGTTGCCTAAAGACTTTAAAATCAAAATGTCTGACAATGATGAACAATTACTTAGAGACTGTATTAATTTGACATTAGGGCGAAAAAGTTTATCTAGAATTAAATTTCACACTACAACTCAAAAATGTGAATCTGTAAATAGGGCATATCTCAGATCAAATTCTAAGTGTATAACTTACAGTAGGAATTTTGAACCAAGAATTCATAGAGTTATTCATACGTTGAATAAGGGATGTGGAAATTCTACTGTTGATCTGTGTACAGCTGTAGGGGCACCTGTTGTCAAAGGCAGTAAAGTAGCACATCTTCTGAAACAGCAACAAAATAGACAGAATTATTTTAGGCAGAGAGAAAGATCAATTTTGTACAAATGTAGAAGAAAATTTTACAGAAAACAAAGGTTTCAGTTGTATGATGATAGAAAAGAACAAAATTATTGTAAATCTCTCACAGATCCAAAATTACCAAAGAAATCTAAGAAACATGTAGATCATAGTTATCAAAGAAGTTAGGTTAAAAAAAAATGTGTTATAATGTGTAATTTACCTGTATAGTTTTTAAAATACACAGTCAGGGTATGGACCATGTCCTAAACAATGTTTTGGGTGTAAAAGTTTACATCTTTGTCTATTGTTGTTTATGCGCTGTGGTTCATATGACAGGTGCTCTATTTTTATGCATTGTGTATTATGACAA